CTATCTATCTGAGTCTGTTCACATCTATCTATCTATCTATCTATCTATCTATCTATCTATCTCATTCTGTTCATATCTTTTTTCTCCAACTCTACCGATCATAGCTAACGATATATAGATTAATCATCCTGTATTCATATCTATTAGCCTAGCCATCTTGTATTCTGTGTGACGGGGCTCCATATTTCCCAAAAGAATCAACGGCCTGAGTTCGAACGCAAATAACATTTTGATTACTCAGTCTGGCCATTCCCAAGCTGGAGAATCTTTTTCATTTCATTTCGCCACTCATCATGATATTTGACCTTTATAAAGGTCGACCCCCAAACGCACCTGAAAACCCGCAACCTCTTTTTTTCCCCCCGTATACAACATTTATAGAACAATTTTACGTCAAGGCCCTTAGGTAGACTTCCCTGTGGGGTAAAGGTCTAGAGCCTCAACACGCTGTGGTTTCTATAGTGAGAATCGTTGGTCACCTCGAGGCGGTGTAATGCTTAACAAGCTTGTCTCGCTAGAACAATTACGACTGAGTAGTGAGTTCGATCCTCACTGGGTGCCTCCTACTTTCGGCCTTGTGCCACATCTAAAAATCACTCTAGTGAGAATTGTTTTTACGGACCGGAGTGTCAAGGAATATAGTCAGTTATGTGCCATGCGTGATACAAACTTAGGCGATCATATATTTTTCGATACATGACTGACGAGGCAGATTTTTTCCCCACGGTAGGTTGCCATTAGTTTCTATAGAACCTGGTCTGTCCTGCTATTTACCCATAGCTGGGGGGAGAAGGTGAGGATTCATACCTTTGCCAAGGTTATTAGCACGTAAGTGAATGTAATGGATTCGACAGGAATTCGAACTCTGCTCTCCGATTCCTCAATCCAAGCCGGTGTTCATCACTCCACCTTGAACCGTGCTTCCTCAAGGAACTTAACCGAGTCGAAAATAACCTTTTGTAATCATTGGTATTATTATATGGATATCTGGATGCCGTGTAATGGATAGCATGCTTGTCTCGTTGAATACTGAATAACTGAGCAGTGAATTCGATCCTTACTGGTTATTCTATACTTTTGGGCTTGTGTCACATCAAAGCTGCGGTTAGAAATTCACCCTTGGAATTACTGTAGGATGGCGTTTCTCAACCAGGGTTCCCCGATACCCGAAGCCACCTAAGGGTTCCACGAGAACAAGTGAGATAAGCTAATGCACTTTTGAATATTTATTTAATTTCATATATGTAATATTACTAATCACGGGCCTTCGATCAGCGGTAGATTTAGCCCTTCCAGCATATCTTTCTTCACGTTCGTCCAGTCACGAATTAATTGATGAGATACTCGGTGGATCGTCTCAGTGTTTCTCGGGTAGTTCTTTCGAACAAGCTTGCAGCGTCTGGGCCCAAGAATTACTTTCTCTCCCAATAGACACATCAAAACAAAAAAGCTGGGACAAAATAAAATGCGAGGCCAATTTTACTAATTTGAGGCTCTCTCTGGATCAACATCGCCTCGATTGTCTACTATCTGCTTCACAGCCGAGTAGTGGCGCCTGGTTCAACGCAGTGCCATCTTCATCTACCGGCACCCTTCTAGATGATGAGTGCACTCGAGTCAGAATCGGGACCCGTCTTGAACTCAAATTATGTGAGCGTCACAAATGCAGATGTGGAGCTTCCATCGATGAGTTTGGTTTGCATCCTCTGTTCTGTCGTCGTAGTGCCGGCCGCTTTTCACGGCATGCAGCAATAAACGACCTCATCAGAAGAGGTTTGGATGCAGCCTGGTTCCCTTTCCAAATTGAACCCTTAGGCCTCGACCGCGGTGATGAAAAGCGGACGGATGGCATTACCATTTTTCTCTTTTAAAATGAGGAAGTCGTTGATTTGGGATGTGACCTGTGCGGCCGGTAATTTGATCAGGTCCGCGGTTGAGCCAGGATCCGTCGCCCGGGACGCAGAGATAAAAAAAAAATAGTTAAATATTCTTCTCTTGCTGATAGATTTTTTTTTAATCCTGTGGCAGTGGAGACTTCAGGAGTTATTGGCCCTCTTTCGATGGCGTTCCTTCGGAGGATTGGCACGATTGCGTCTCGATTAAGGGACGAGCCTCGTAAAACGGAGTGGCTCTTGCAGCGTGTCTCAATGGCCATGGTTCGAGGTAATGCTTTTCTCTATTATTGTGGCTGGCAGATGATAGAAAAAAATTGTTTATAGTTACGTTGTTCTGGGATTGTCATCAGTGGTCAACTGAACTTGTTTTGTTTCAATAAATTTTAATTAATAAGAAAAAAATCACACGCAATATATTCTTTGTTATTGTAATATTGTAATATAGACATCACTCTATCTAACTTATTATGTTATTAAAAAAATCATTGGGAATATATTTAGTGATGTCTGTACGTCGCCATTTTGAAATCATCTTCATTCGTCAGTGCCCACTCAGCGAACGGGACCTGTACATAAAGTTGCATATTTCTTTGCTTTTTCTTTATTTTTACAGAAATACCTACTCACTCAATGTAGCGAATTTTCATTTGGTTTGGTTTGTTTTGTTTTACGGCATATCAGCCTCAATGGGTTATTTAATGCCGACAAAAATTTTTATTGCTGGTAATATGTTTTTCTTCAAAAATCTATTTCTGGGAATATTTTTCCTTGAAGAAATCTATAGCTGGTCATATATTTTTTCAAAGAATGTATAATTGTATTGCTGGTATTTTTTTAAAAAAGTATTGGTGATAATAATTTTTGCTTCAAAAATTATTGCTGGTAATAATTTTTTTTATTACAAAGTATTTCTGGAATTAAAACCTATTTTTACACAAGTTTGGATGTTAACTATTTGTTTGTAGCTAGGACCCTGACAGGCGCTACCAACCCGGGTCAGGCTGGACCTGGGAACACCAGCAATTAAGTGGTGTTTCCACGCTCCTCAAAAACCTCCTGATCAGAGGCCTTTCTGATGGACGTAGTTTATTGTCTTACCCAGGACGCGGATGTAGTTTATTGTCTTACCCAGGACGCGAATGTAGTTTATTGTCTTACCCAGGACGCGAATGTAGTTTATTGTCTTACCCAATACGCGGATGTAGTTTATTGTCTTACCCAGGACGCGAATGTAGTTTATTGTCTTACCCAGGACGCGGATGTAGTTTATTGTCTTACCCAGGACGCGGATGTAGTTTATTGTCTTACCCAGGACGCAAATGTAGTTTATTGTCTTACCCAGGACGCAGATGTAGTTTATTGTCTTACTCAGGACGCGGATGTAGTTTATCGTCTTACCCAGGACGCAGATGTAGTTTATTGTCTTACCCAGGACGCGGATGTAGTTTATTGTCTTGCCCAGGACGCGGATGTAGTTTATTGTCTTACCCAGGACGTGGATGTAGTTTATTGTCTTACCCAGAACGCGGATGTAGTTTATCGTCTTACCCAGGACGCGGATGTAGTTTATCGTCTTACCCAGGACGCGGATGTAGTTTATTGTCATATCCAGGATGAGTAGCAATTTTTGAAGTGGAAAAATTTAGAAAATTTTCTTAGCCCATTTATTGGTTCACAAGACATTTTGCCTAGATTTACCTGATGTATTTTCAACATTGCCAGTAAAGGATAAAAAAATTTAAAAAAAACAAAAAAAACTGATGCAGCAATTATCAGTTTTTGTTCTGTTTACATTTATATTATAGGTATATATATATATTGATTACTTATGTTCATTTTTTACGTATGAGTTTAGAAATTCTTTGTGTGAATAAAAACTCACTGATAAACGAACGGTCAGTCAGTTTTGTTCCATGCGTGATTTTCTTTATTTATTTTTGTTTTACTGAATTCGTGGTTTGTTTACGGGTTAAGAACGAAAAGCACAATAAAACTTTGTTTATATTTGTTGTGTCGGAAACCTACCACCCCTCTTGAAGATGAACTTGTCTGCGTCTGTGAACAAAGACTTTAAATAATGAAGGACAGATAGACAGAGAAGTTCTTAGCTGAGCTAGTTATTGACTACTCAGGCGATTTCTGTACCTTTTTACCAACCTATTAAAATCCTTTTTATTGTTACGTGTTATTTGGCGTTTGTCTCTACTAACCCCAAATCAACATCATAACAATATTTAATGACTTTATACACTGAATGTCTCATTTCTCAACAGGGGGTCCTCAGAACCCCAATGTTCAGTAAATGGTCCCGAAGGGTTCCCCGAGAACAGGTGAGATAAGATAATACACTGTAGACGTTTTTTTTATTTAATTTCATATACGTAATATTACTGTTTACATGCTGTTTATATTTCTATTATAGGTATATGATATTGGTTATCTATATTTACTTTTTATGCTTGACTTAAGAATCGTTTGTGCGTGAATAAAAACCCCTTGATGAAATATTATAAAGGAACAGTATGAATTTTATTTAGCATTACCGAAAATTTTGACAAATAATTATTAATTCTTCCTTAAACCAGTTATTCAAAAATATATACTATGGTATTTACCACATGAACTACGATGAAAATAAAATGAGAAAGATATGGTATATAATTTTGTTTTTACGCAGGCGTTCCTTGAGACATGTAATTTATATTCAGGGTTACGCAAGTGGAAAAAAGTTGAGAAACGCTTCTGTAGGGACTTATTACCTGCTTCAGCTCTTGGGGGTGGTCCCAACAAAACCAGGAGCCTCCAACCAGTTGAAAATTTTGTCTTAGTTCACATGAATGAATACTTGGATTTATACGATACCTACCACCTTTTTGTAATGAACTAATTATCCAGTTATTCGTGAATTCCCTTACGTATCAGGTGCAGATGCTTGTCCTGATTGAGAATCCACTTTTAATGAAATGGTTTGTGTCGCCATTATTAATAACATGGGACTTCAATTTTCGACCAGTGACATTTCATTGGCTCCAATATTTCGTGACTTTATCGGAGTTAGCTCCTCCTTAATTCCCTAATTGTCACCAGGGGTCTCTCTCCCTACACTATAAATGCTGGGTAGCTTATGGCCTCGTTCTTGTTTTCGTTTCTTCATTTCAGCGAGCACATCTACAATGTAAGCTCTCGCAAAAGATAAATGTCTTCCCATTTGTGGGAGAGGGCA